TTAAACAAAAGTTACCTCTAGCCTCTAGTAACTGTCTAGTAACAATCCAAGAATAAACAAAAAGGGAGAGAATCCTACACAGAAACTCAAAGTGGAGGGGGCTTGCATAAAGTGACGTAAATTTTTATTAATATATATATAATAAATAAATAATAAAAAAAAATAATAAAAATGAATTAAATGTTACTATTATAATAATGTTATTTAGAGAATAATCTTTTAATTATAATTTCTAAAGTCATCTATTATGCATTTTCAAAAGTTCACTGACAATAATCAGTATCAGTGAAATTGCTCGCCATAGCCCGCTAGTATTATTATCTACAGATGTGCAACAAAATTGATTTTAATAGTCTTTTGTTTCAGATATATCTTTAGCTATAACATCATCACTATTACTTTCTATACTATAGTAATATCAATCAACGATAAATCGACCGTTTCATCATCCAAACTCACTAGTCTAGTATCTAGTAAACTCAGCAGCTTTTTGGAAAGCCATGCTGAACTCTCAACTTTTTAAATTTTAACGAAAGAAGATAAAAACATTTTGAATTTCGGTAATTTACTTACTAGAGGGCTTTATCTAACTCGCATTGTAGGCAGGCATAGGTCGGACTTTCGGAGGCAAAAGCAGGCACTAAAAGCAGTAGAGGTTCAGCCCAATAATATATTTATACTTGCACACCTGAAATAATCTTTAATTATTTTTTTCAGGACAATCCTCAACTTTCCGTGAATGGGTAGTGTATGTCATGCTGATAATGACAGTTGTTGCAATTGCCTTCATGCTTTTCTTTGTTAACTGCAAGAAATGTTAAATTTTTCTTAAATGAAAGGCTAGTGTAAGAATGACTGACTGTATAGATGATTGTTGCTATTATCTCAGGACCTTCTCAGCAACAAACTTTCCCTGGGTAAAGCTTTACTGCCACATACTACTCAATCGATTTGTTGCAATAAAAGGTCAAGTAATATATGGCACTATGCGGTCCATGTGCAACTCGCTTATGCTTTAAGGCCACGCTGGCTTGCCCTGTCATACGAGGTGAGAGTCTAGCCATTATTTTTCTGTCGATTCAACAATCAGATGTCTCAGATAATGTCAAATCACTACATAATATTATGTTTGTAGTATGCTACAACCTTCCCAAAAACTTTACATTTACATGAACTGTTTTGGATTAGCTAGGTTAGCTGGACATCTTTTGATACCGGTATTAAATAAATAATTTATCTAAAGAATTTACATGTAGGGCGTCTTCCAATGTTAAAAGAATTGCAATCAAAAATATTATAAAACTTTAGAAGTCATGGTAATGAATTTTAAAAAATAATTTTTAGCTTTAAAATTTGAATGTGAAAGAACTTTATGTTGAATATTATTCATGAATATTTAATATTATGCCCATTAAATGTAAATTAAAAATTGGGATATTTTTCAAATCAACCCTGAGAGTATGTAAGAGTAAGAGGTCGTATGGTATTTTTTACATTTTTAAATAGGTTTTACATAATAATTCTTTACATATGATAAAAGAATCCATTTGATATTGAATTTTAAAAATGTGTAAACATATTCAACACTTTTTGTTTATTTAGATTTTCTTTTTAGATTTCTGATTAAAACATCAATTGAAAAGCACCAATTGTTTTATTTTTTTCATTTGTTTGTTGTTTTTTTGTTGTTTTTTTTTATTAATATGTGTGACATCAGCCCACTTATAGTACTTACAGTCAGATGTATGGTACACAAACATAACAACATTAATTAGATAGGCAGCAGGAAGCTGCAGGAAGTCTTTGATATGTAAGGGGTCTAAGTTTATGATGTTGAAAAAAATATATCAACTATGAATCATGCAGGGGGCACAAAACTGATAAGTGGCTGGAGGCCTACAAGAGTCACTAGGCCTACAAGAGTCACGTGGCCTATTTAGGTTTTATTAATATTACTATAACTATAAGTGACTATACTGACTAACGTTCTTTATGTTATTAATATTAATAATATCACTCTCTTCTAAATTATCACTCAGTATCTCAAGACCTATCTGATAATTTCAAAATCTGCTAAAATAAATAGGCCTATTAATAAACACTAATCAAAATAAATAGTACTATGCAGTTGCAAGAATGTCATACCACAGTTTGCCCCAAAAAATATTTTATGGTGAACTCAAGCAGGGCACGTGGTTTGCTGGGGGAAAGAAGAAACGCTTTAAAGATACATCGAAAGCATCTTTGAAAGCATTTCACATAGCGCCGACATGTTGGAACAGTCCTCAAAGAATTGAGACACATGGCGCTCATCCATATACAAGGGGTCAATGCAACATGAGGCTGACAACACAATAGACACACCAGAAAAGCCCAGGCAAACTCTGTACCTGGAGTTTCCCCATCCATCCCCAGCACTTTTTGATAGAATTGACCTGATCAGTCATCTGCACACCCACCGACAGACTTACTCTGGCAACAGGCCAAATTTGGTGTTTAGAATGGTCAAGGTCGACTTTCGACAGACGAACTATCACTATGCAGTTCAGTATGCTATATTATACAGCAGATAGCACCTAGGAGGTGCAGCCCAGGGGTAGGGATAGGCCTAATCATAATAAATATTAATTTACTATAATTATTAGGGCTGGGTACTGACCTGGAAACGCAGAATATTAGCACATCCGGCACATATCAGGACCCTGCAAAAAACAGATCCAACCTTGGGTCTGTTTTTTTGTAACATTCAGTGGGGTATATTCTCAAATACTCATACCAAGTGTTAAAAAACTACACCCAAATCAGCTCTAATAATATAATCACCCGTGAAGTCAATTTAATCTCAGTTGTTTTTTCTATTAATTCTAAGGAAATTTTATTCAAAATGTTTTAATTTTGGGCACTGGTCTAATAATAAATATAATGTACTTTACCTCTTACAATTACAGCAGTCAGTGGTAGTGAATTGTTTAAATCTTAAACAAATAGCTAGTTGCTAAGACAATAATAAAATGAAATCCCTCCTTTTTTTAACAGTGAAAAGATGAGTGCAAAGCTTCCATTGAAAGAGAAAAATGCTTTGCTTTAATTGAAACAGGCACAACTGAAGGGATGAAGTTGCTGCAGCTAAAAAGAGAAGTATCTGAATCATTTTATGAATTATAAAGTGGCGATAGATTTTGAACATATGAACTCCAAAAGTCTGTTAAACTTCATAAGGATGCACAGGTAGGATATACTTATTTTTTAAACTCAGTGAAAGAGTCGAACTCTAATAAGGCTAAGAGTAAGAGTAATAATGAACCAAATAAAATACTAGTACACTGCATCGAACTTAGTAGTCTAAGTAGGAAGAATTGGGTTGAGCTTAGGTGAAGATAAAACACTTTAAAAGACAAAAACTATAAAATTAATGGATTTTAAAGGGTTGTTGTTAAAAAGATATTTCTACATGCAAAATTTCCAACATTAATGTAATTTTCAATATTTTAGCTATCCAAATGACATAAAAGAGTGACTCATCAAGTATTTTAATTGAACAACTAAGTTAAATAAGAATTACTATTTTTGCAATAAGAACTAACTAACGCACATATTCTGGTGAAGGTCTGAGATTACTCTCTTATGACCCCGGCTAGTAAATTGGCTATCAACTCCATCTGTTGAGCTGAGCCATACAACATGTCCCTCACAAAGGATCCTCCAACCGCCCTGGCTTCCCCTGGGAGATCTAGTGCGGGACACTCCGTCAACAGATGTTCTAAGGTCTCCGGGGCCAGGCTGCAGTGCCGGCAGGTAGGATCTCTGTTGTTGTCCAACCTCCAGAAGTATGTGCGCAGGGGGCAGTGCTCGGTGCGCATCTGCGTTACTAAACTCTGCACTCTACGACCTAACCCCCACCATGGGTCTTGTTTGCTAGGAGTAGGCAAGTTCGAATAGACGCCTCTGGCGGTCGTGTTGTCAGCCCATTGCCTGTACCACTTCTGCCTGAAGTGGTCCGCCAGCCAGTTTTTGACTCCCAAGAAAGTCATTGGTACTTCTGGCTGAGGCTGGGCTGCCCCGGTTTTCGCCAGAGTGTCAGCTATCTCATTGCCACTGATGTTGACATGCCCTGGTATCCATTGCATTTCAACCTTGCACCCTATTTCGTCAAGTCTGCATATGTCGTTGTGAATGACGTCGACCAAGCTTGTGGTACCCTGTCTCTTCTCCAAGATCTCAAGAGCGGATCTTGAGTCTGAGAAGACGACAATATCGAGCCCCGCATGCTCCGTCCCTTCCAGAGTGACACGGACTCTCTCCAAGGCCTTGTGCATAGCTATAAGCTCCGCGTCGAAGTTTGACGCTGTAGTCCCACAAGGCCCGGAGAGTTTAATAACTCAAATTTTCTATAAATGAATCATTGTTTGAAAGTGGGAATACCAATTTAATATCCTTTCTAATGTAAAAAAAATGACTGCTTTCTGAGAACATCAAATTTTCATTAAACTACATGATTAATTTTAATTATTTCTTCCAGCTGGTACACCTGAAAGTCTTGCTAAAAAAGCAAACTCCATCTCAGACATGGGCATTAGAACAGTTGCGGCTGGTCATCAGTGGTCAAACTGCAGCCAGTTATTAGAACAAACCTACAACTAGTTGACCTGGCTGTAAGTGAATGTTCTGGTCAGTATAACACTTTCTTTTGATAAATGGGGTTATATTTATTATCTGTGCTGTTTTGCTGCAAATATATATATATATATACAATTTATTATGAATACATATTTATTATACCTGTTAGTGTTCGTGCTCTAAAGTTGTCAAACTTATCACATGGTTACCTAACAATCATGGTTACCTAACAACCATGAGGGTATCTTCTTAAGGTATACTCTTCACCTATGTGTTTTTTTATACATTACATTACATGCATTCAATTTTTCTTTAAAAACTTAAGGGTTACAGAATGAATTTCAAAAATGTTATTTTTTGTGAAAAAAAGCAGAAAACAAAATAACGTGAACATTTTTTTATTAACATGCAGATTAAATATTCTGAGCATGTAGAAATACAAGCATTGAAACAATTTAATGCATAAAATACATAAATTATCTTTACAGGAATGTCAGGAAAACAAAAAGTTGATCTGCACTTGCTGATGTCCTTTTTGTACTTGCTTAGCACCCAACTCATGTGCCTTAAAGATTGACACATTTCTTAACAGACTTTCTGGTAAAGCCTATGAGAGTTATTTACAATAACTTGAATAAGGCACAGTAATTTAGTTTATAAAAAGTTGTTAAATTAAGATTTAACACACATGGTATATGTTGCTAAAGCTTTAAAAATAGTGAATAATTAGTGCTTTAAGTTTATGCATACAAAAATAAAATAATATGTAATCTCTTGTTTTGGAGCTTGGCTAAAATACTGATGAACTTTTTTTTAATTACCTATATACATTTGAACACTTTAACAGAAAATTTTAAGCCATTAACAAACAGACCAGATGGAGTTTCCAGGAAACAATATATCATGATCAGCAGAAGGTTCAGTCTTATTTAAGCTAAGTTTAAGTTTTTATTTCCAGGTGGAGATGCCAAGCTTCTCTTCCTCGTCTGAATGTTGCCTGAAAAAACGTGAAATCACAGAGACCCTTCGGTGCTTTGGTCAGAGAGCCTGACAGGTCAAAGAAGCAGTACCAAAAGGCAGCGCCTTTCATCAGCTGAGAAGTTAGCTACAGAATCTGGAGGTGGCCATTCCAGAAGTTCATCTTCAAGATAAATCCTTCTTTGCATTTGATTAGAACGGACCAAAAAAGTACTCTCAAGGGATTTTCTTCATTGGTTTTAGTAAATGAATATGTATTTGTGTTAAGTTATTGTTTTGAAAAAATTAATTTATTACCTAAGGACAAATGCATATGTTATTAATAGTTAATATATCTCAGTTAATCAGAATATAATGATGTCATAATGATGTGTAAATTTAAAAAAATTATATTATAGATAAGAAATAGACATAAATGCTTTTTTAAAATGTATTTCATATGTGCTCAGATGGTTATATTGAAAATAATGCCAAAAGATAATTTTTTAACTAGTTTTAGAAGAAATATATCCAATGACCATTAGTATCCAACTGTTATTTTCTTTTTGTTCAAGTGGATCAGAGGTCTAAGCTTCATCAAAACATTTATAAATAAAAAAAAACTTTTATCTAGAGATGTTTTATTTTAAATTATTGGAAAATAACATTTGAACTGGACACATGAAATGCAAGCTTATGCATTAAATAATGCTTCTTCATTGACATTTACTTGAATATAGTAAGCAAGCAATTACAAGTTTAATGAGCCTTTATTTATTGTTATTTCATTTTAAATGCAATATTTCATAAAATGAAAGACTTTACAAGGCATTGTGGTTGTATTAGCTTTGTTCACTGTTATAAAAATGTATGTGTATTACTTAAATAACTAAGAGTTGTTCAAGAGCTTTGCAACTTAACTGAACAATGGATTTTATTATCTATTCATATATGACTAAACAGTACATTGCAATAAAAAATAAAGTGTTAAAAGTTAACCCACAGATGTGACAATTTAAACCCCCAAAATATATCAAAGGCTACTTGGAGTTGGTCTTGTCTGTTAACTGCATTTCAAAAACTATTTCAGTAGCTTGGTAGTAATATTGCATAGCACATTTAAACTAACTTTAAAGATCAGTTAGAAATATACTAAATTAAAGGGATGCATATGTTTAAATTATAATTACATATTTCAAAGAATGAAAAAATTATATTTATACAAGCTTGATATGCCAAAAGTTGTATACAAATTGTATCCACTTGATATAAAATGAAGTTTAGCAAAAAGGATAATGCCAGGAAATTTTTTTTAATAATATAAGTTAAGGTGAAGCTCAACATAGGAGATCACATATAATTTGTCTTCATCAGCATTCAAAAAGGGCAAAACCCACTGAAGAAATTTAGAATTAGCTTGAGGCTATTTACTTGTTTTTGTTTTTTTTCAGCCTGAACATTTTTTCCTTTGTACAGAGTCGACAGCCAATCTCTGACAAATGTATCCATTAGTCATTTTCCTTGTTTTTGTAACACTTTAAACTATAATTGGTTAGGCAATGGAGTTTTTTACTAATTACGGTAGGCCTAACTTATTTAATGTTACATTTTTTTTTCTAAATTTTAATATATATACTTTTTTAAAGGAATTTTAAACATAATGCCTATATACATTACTAAACATCAGCCTTGATATCTGTTTATTTTTGGTCCTGCTAAATATTAAATCAAAATTGTACAAAATGCTTGAAACTTCCAGTAACAACACTTTTTATACAAAGAATATACTCATCCATCGTGTAATTAAAATTGTACAAAAAAACTTTGTTAAGCTCCAACTTGAATGGAACTGTATGTGACAGTTGTAAAATATTATTTTTAAGGTAAACATTTTGTAGAAAATAAAAGCAAATAAAAGTTTAATGAGCTTTTGAATTTACATTGAAAAAACCCGAATTAGAAAGAAACTGAGATAGTTCAGAATACTTTAATGGTAAACATTTAAGATCACATTGACTGTGAGGTCACAATAATTTCAATTTTCTACTAGCACAGTAAAATTACTGTTCATTGAAACTAAGCTGAATCTTGACCAAGCTTAAAGAAAAGAGAATAACTTTTAAGTTTAGAGCCTTTAAACAAAATAAAGATTCAAATGCAAATTACTTTAACAGTAATGAACTTGATTGGTAAAGGTGTTTCTATCTTATCTAAATTTGTAATTATTGCCTTCCAGTTTAAGATATTAAACAAATTTTTTTAAACTTTGCATTTCATAGTAGTTGTATACAAACAATAGTTTTAGAGTAGTTTTATAAAAGGCATTTTTTAATGGACTTTACAATTTTTGAATGGTGCCATATTACTTGGCTTTTTGAAATTGAACTAACCATTGCAGAATTGTACCATAACATCTTTTAGCAGCATCCATGCCCCAGGTAAAATCAATGTGATTCCAGCCCTGTATTTCATATTTAGCCTTCAGGTTAGGCAGAGTCTTAAACAATTCAGCAACATCCTGGGAATATATAACAAATGCAATAAGTGTTGAATTCTGCCACATTTCCTGCAGTATGAAGATCAAATATTATTTAAAATCAAACATGAAATTATCATCATAAATAATAATTTTCTATGTATATATGTATGGCTGTTATTAAGTGCGATACTTAAAAGCATGTTTTGTCAAATAACTTAATCATTGTTCAGGGGGTTACTTCTAGTATTCTAATGATATTAATATTCAAAAATTAATAACAGAGGATTTCATAATTTCTTTCATTTATATGAGGGGAGTCTGATAAGTTTAGTCTATCACAGGAAAAGATATTTCAATAAAATAAAATGTTTCAAAAACGTATTCAATCATTACAAACCCACTGAGTGAAGATTCTCAGCTTTGCATTGAAAACTGAGACAAGAATTTAGTTGCTTGTTCATTAATAAGGTCTACAACAATTTATCTAAATTGAGCAGGTTAAAAAAGCAACAGAATAAAATAATTATGTTTTAAAATACCTGAGGGTCAGACAGCCAATCATTGGTTGAAGTAAATGCAACAACTGGGACATCCACTTGAGTGAGATCATATGTTGGTGGCTCAGTCTGTCCAGAAAAAAATCAAGAGTTAATCATCGTTAACAGAATTTGAAATTTATGACAGACTTTTGAGGTGGATATCAGGGGAAAATTAAAAAATATATCTATTAGATTTAATAGGTAATTAGATTTTTTTTTTAAATGTTCAATACCGGTATCTTAAGAAAATAATTTACTTCCAAATACCAGCAGCAAACTTACCAAAATAGCATGTTTGGTTGGTCCGTTGTTTTGGTGCTAAAGCAACATCCATTTAAAAAATGTTCACTCTCCTACACTACCTGTTTACATAATCTATCAAACAAATATCCAATCACATGACCCAAGCAATGATAAAGCCTAATTAAATATGTTTTAGAATTACCTGGTTATAGTATTTCTCATTTTCTTTTGCTGATCCAAAGTTGTACATCATAAACTTTTGTTCTCTATGCATCTGAAAGAATGCTAGACAACTTTATCATAATTTTTTTTACAAAAAATTAAAAATACATTTTTACCTCTGATAATAAAAAGGAAATGACTTTTTATTTTTAAACTTTAATAAAAATCCCACCTAACTTTCTGTTAAAGTGACATAAAAATTGTGTAAATAAATAGTCTTTAATTCCTTTTGCTAGATCAATACAATTATCTAAACTATGACATGTCCAAGGCAAATAGAAAATGTATACAAAAATTTATGGGTGAGCAACTGGTTCAAACCTCAAGTGCATGAGGGAAACTCTTTTGCTTATAAACCTAAACTGGTGACTTAGTGGCTTCCAGTCACCAGTGGAAAAAACACTTCTGTAATATGGAAGAACATGGATGGAATCTGAATAGCCCTTTTTCTGAATACACCTCACAAACCAGCATTTGTAGCCTTAATCAGAAAGCTTTACATTATAGAATGTTATCTAATCAATCAGTTAATGAGAACTATAACAAGCTCAAAATACCTGAGCAAAGTGCACCATATCTTTGGTTGATACCCCAGCTGGGGAATGGTTCATATACACCTGCAGACGACTCTAAAAACACAATGAGAAATACATTTAATTTTACTGGGTTATTTTTATTCAGGCCTTAAAGAGAAATATAAAAAAAATGGGCAAATAAGTCTCCCATAAGGAAAGTGTTTTAATATTTTTAAAGCTTTTCTTACGTCACAGTTTTCAAGAGGGTAACAATAGCTATTTCAGTAGGGTCAACAATCTCACCTTCTCTAAGTGTAATCAAATTTATATATCACAAGTTTACCTGATTAAGGTTTGAAAGGTCAAATCCACTAAACAAGAAGAGTTGATTGTAACACACCCATCTTGTAAGGACATCCCCACAAAATGTATCTACTAGAAACTTGAGGATATCATTGTTGGGGAGAAAATCTCGCCGTCCAAAGGTGTCGTACAAGAGCTAATATGAGATTAAGAAAAGATATATAATTATCAGGTGCTGAAATTCTATAAGTTTATGCTAATGATAAGTTGGGAGATGTAATCCATTTCACTATGAAGCATTGAGATCACTTAATAATATTGTTGGAACATACTTTTAAATAATCACCTAAAAGTAAACAGGTTGGAAATAAAGTACATTTTATTTGTTTAATATTTCAATCCGATTAACATAAAATGTACAAATTATATGTATATATGACAAAACACTCCATATAAGATCCAATGATCACTAAATATCGATTAAGCATCACACCAGCAATATTATTAAAAAGTACAAACACAAATTTAAAACATAAAACTAATAAATTTTCCTTCACTAAGACATACCTGGTCAGGAAACTCAGCCAAATATTTAATGGGTGACTTGATGTAATTGATATGAGCCACTGGAGCTAATGCAACAAAGAGTTTGATCTATAAAAGTAAATTAGTAAAACAACATTATAAGAAATATTTTTTATTTGATGACCATTCAATTTTTTTTTACTCTACTGAAAAATCCCTAGAGCAAATAATGCTAAAGATCTAATAGGCAACTGCTTATCAATAGAACATTATGAGGTTAAACCCAAATGAAATGTATGGCTGAACTAATTGTAAGGTAATATAGATATGAGTTATTCTCATTAAGTGTTGTAGATTAATTATTAATATTGATTCTTTTCCTTGGACTTGTTAAATGTAGAGATTATAAAACAAAAAAGTAGATATCGTATTTAAAATTGGTGTGGGCTGGCAGATAGGTTATACCTTTTTTCTAATATCTGGACGTTGAGAGAATAATGCAAATGCCATTGTTGTGCCTTGTGAATGCCCAATATAGTAAAGAGATGTCTCACCAGTTTCATTCAACACAAACTCTAAAAAAGCTGGCACATCATATTTAGCCATCTCATCAAAACTGAAAAGTTTGATTGAAATCTCAATCCCTGAATAATTTTTTTTTCATACAGATTTAAGTATTAAAATATATGACGTAATAAAATTTATTTAATGACATGTAAATTCATTGTAAAATTAAATAACAGGCATATATGATGCATGATATGACTTCAAAATAATACTTTCAACTTAGTTTAAAGCATCTTTCTATAATTTTGATGGTATTTATGCAAGACTGCTAATATTTTAACTTCAAATAGAATTCTTAAAAGATTTAATGCATGTAATATTATATTTATTTATTACCTCCAGTCCCAGAATTTAGGATTATTTGGATCTAGGGTGGCATGTTTCCGAGAATAGGTATTTCCCCTTGAGTTCCCCATCCATACATCATATCCAGCATCAGCTAATATAAATCCTAAATGGGAAAGAAATATCATGTTATTAATAAAACTCTTTCTAGATAATATTTAAGAAAAGTCATAATCAGATTGGTCAAAGGTTCTAAACTATGGTCAGCTTAGCTAATTTCAGAGTTCTGCTTAACATAATTCAAAATTTAAGCACGCCAAAACTTTTAGCTTTAGTTAACGGAATGATTATCCTCTTTCCCCTCGAAAAAAGTTAAACAATTAAAATGAGATTCTCACAGTACCATAATAAAGTTTAAGATCTGGTCTAAAAACAAGCTGAGATTATTAATTCCCTGTGGCCATAAGATAAATTTCATACAACATAAAGCTTTTAATTTTAAAATACTTCATTTAAGAATAACTAGTTAAAGATCAATTAAAATATTAAATTGTTAACTTACCAAGACTGTCATCTGCAAAATTCAAAACCCAGTCACATGCACTAGAGAGAAGAGCATGCTGAAGATAGACAACACCTTTGCTGTTTTTTCTGTAGTTGAAATGTGAACCTTTTCTGCCATGAGGTATACGGTGCAAGTCTAGCAAGAAGCCATCACTGGTCTGGACAGTGTACGTTTCTGATGGGTACCCTTGACTTAAAATTAACTCTGTCTGATAAATGGAAATAAATATTGGTTAAATATTACTTAAGTCTTAGGATATACAGAAAATTATTGTTTCATGTGTATATTCTTTTAAATGTACACATGAACATTTCTTCTCAGCTAACTATAAACCCAAAACCTATCTTCAGATGTATCTCATTATACCAGCACCAATTTTTCTAGAAAAGAAATTACTCCATCTCGATATATATGACCAAATGTTAACTTTTTTTTTGAGGTTGAACTTTAATTTGCAAGTAGCAAGGACCCAACTAGTTTAATTAGTTAACATACCATTAGCTTACCAAATTTTTATTAACATCAGGATCAAGGTGAATATCCACAGTTGATTTTGACATGGAATTTTGTCTTCCAAAGCTGTTATCGTCATTGCGTTTTGCATTATATTGGTTGCTGATCACTTCCAAAACATTATTTAGTGATGGGTCTTTACTAGCTCTGATAATGTATATCAAACTTGTAATGAAAAAGCAAACTTGTCCCAAACTGATCTTGACTAACATATTTTTGTTTTATTTTTTGCAGTTCCTCTATACAAATATCTTGTAAGCCTGAAACAGATTGTGTGGTCTTAAAAGTCAGACTATTCGGCTGGGTAGCTGATAACAACCCAGCAGCAGGGCAATAAAACTATTTATTTTGATGTTGACTGGTCAGAGTTGTGTGAAGAGGCACTCATCCACAGTTTCCATCTTAAATGGCATGTGAATGGATAACTTAACAAGACAACTGTAAAGCTTTCACATGGTGGTTCTAGGATTCAAAGACCTGCTTAACAATTTGGAAATTCTGCTAAATGACCTCTGATCCAGCCCTATCTTCATTTATGGGTTTCAGTAATGGTCTCTTGAGTTAATATAATAAGATAAGATAAAATAAGTAAAGATTCATTTATTGATCCAAATAAATAGAAATCTTTTTTTATTACAATGGACATATTCATTTTCAACACACAAATAAATACTTATATTAACCAACACAACATTTTAAAATTATGACAATTTAAACTTAGACATCTAAAGTATTTTCTTTCATATCTATCAATGAACTCCCTTAGAGACAATAATGACTTAATTAGCGATCTTTTACATTAGGCACTAAAGAAATTTTATATTTTGGTCTAACTTTAATAGAAAGAATTCAACCTGATCAAGCTGATCATAGGTACTTGTGAGCAAGAGGGTGGGATGTATCCAATTTTTTTTTAGTTTTACAAAACTATTTTTCTTCAAATAGTTTCTTGATTATTTAAGAAAGCTAGTAATAAGTCAGCTTCCATTGTCCATAACAAAGTGTGTTCCGATGAATTTCCACACCAGAAGGTAACACTGAAGTTGCACTGTAGAATAAGTTAATAACTTTTTTGTTTACACCATTTGTTTGTTTATAATGATGGAAGGCTAAAAAAAAATAATATGTACTGTGTGCAAACCCATCCACCAAATTGCAAGGTATGAGTTTAGAAAGGAGACTTTGTTAATGCACAATTGAAGCTGACTTGACAAAATAATATTAAATAACTAATAAGTTTAATAGTTGTTTAACAAAAGATGTCATATTATTAAACATAAGCAAAACATAGGGCAGAGAACAAAATTAACACATTGAATATCTCAGATTTGTAGGAAGACCCACCTAGGACCTGCGAGAGAAAAGGGGGCGATTGCAGTCCTAGTTGTAGATTTTTTTTTATTCACAAAGGAAATGTAGACATTTATTAGATACGATAGGTGTTGAATATATTGCACATTGCCACAATAACAAATTGAGCCCTTGGAAAACCTAAATTATTCCTCTAATATAGCTCAATTTATCCCACCCTTCATTGTTTAGGTACTAGTTCAGTGCAATTTTTATAAAAATTAAATTACCGGTATTGAATTACACTAGGTTTATAAAATATTGGCTGGATGGCTGTGTTGTCTAAACTGATTCAATTCTATGCTTGTGTTCCATCCCCAGCAAAAGCCTAGTCAAGCAAAAAATCAGCAGCACCCCAGGTGGATGGGATCCTTCATTTTATAATGTACTTGTTCAATGCAATTTTTTTAAAAATTAAATTATTGAATTACACTAGTAACTAGGCTTATATTATATGGGCTGGATGGCTGTGTGGTCTAAACTGATTCAAGTCCAAGCTTGTGGACTAGAGTTACATCCCAAGCAAAAGCCTAGTCAAGCAAAAAATCAGCAGCACCCCAGGTGGACGGGACTTATTAACCTTGGATGGCAACTAATCTAAGAAAATTCTGGATTCAAACCCGCAGAAGAAGTCCTGGAGCGGCATGACATTTCTGGTAGTGTTCGTTGCTGCATCCATATACTGGCATCTGTGCAATGGTTGGGGGAATGATGTTACTAGTCTAACAGCTCCTAGCATATGGTAGGACAGCCTTGAAGCTTTCGACCGATGTCGAGTTCACATCGGCATTGTCCAGGTGGTTCTATGCTATTATTGTGCGTTGGAAGATAGATTGTTTATACTGTACTGTGTTGCACCGAGGCACGGTGAAGCATTTGTTATTGTTTCGGGTGTAATTGCTTATGGGGTTGTTAGTGACACAATGAAAATCTATACAACTCATGCGACACTACCGGTACTGTTGCCAAGCTGTATCATCCACACATGATGCTGCCGCTTTGGTTGCCATGGTGTGTTATTTTGCTCCTATGGAACCAGCTTATACTCCTAATCCTACAGCTAGTCCTTAAGAAAAAATCCCAGGTCGTGATTTCATCTTGCAAAGTCTACATCAACGTCACTTTGATGCCAAAAAAATAAAAATTATTCTAATATTTTTTCTTTAGGCCACGTAGGCCTTTTGCTGTATAGTTAGGCTTCTATTTTTAGTTTTACTATTAGTGTTATTATTAACTTACTTCTTCTTCTATATATTAAAGGACCACAATCAATTTATTGATCATTTTGGCTCCTACTTTAGGGTGACCAAACGTACTGTAAAGGTCAAGTTTTAGATAATTTGCTATTATTACTATTATGCAATCTTTTTACACAGGATAAGAGGTAGATTAGCGAAACTTGACCTCACCCAGTGATTAAATAATAAAAAGGAAACAAAACAATTTGACTAAAAAAAGACTAGATTGACAAATTATGTGACAAACTCTTATGCTATATTGAATCTGTTTATTATGGGCCTGTGAATTATGTTTAATTCAAAAATATTCACTGGACATCATCCATCCATGGTGAAGTGAAGTGTTCATCCATAGTTACGACTGGCATCAATCTTTCACCATCATCGTTTCCTGGAAGGATAATTGCAGACAGATCAACTTCATCCTCATGTAGCCACTCAACATCGTCTGAATGTGCATTTTCTTTGCTGGCAATAACTGCCATGAGTTCTCTTTGCCTTCTAGCAGCGATTCTCAAAGGACTGAAGCGTTTTATCTGAGTTGATTCTGGAACAGTTTGAGTTAGCACATTCTCCCGAGCCCGAGCTCCTGCATGTTTCTGGGACATTGCATGTGACGTAAAGTATAAGTGACATACTTTGCAAATTCGATCAAGTAAGCTGGTCTGCAAAGTTGTACTTTGAAAACTCCTGTTGATCTCAGCAATGCTATACAAAAAAAAAGGCTTCGCAACAGCATACTAGCAATCCTAGCGAGAGGAATCGTGAAAAACACATTCAGGAGATACGCATTTCATGCTATTTTGACATAAAAACTAATTCAAATTTTTCACAAAATTTTTGAAAATTGTTTTTAAAGCTATTAACTTCTACTAAAAAAATAAAAAATTAATTGGAAATAAAATTTTTAAAAATAAATGTGTGACGACACACATGGCCTGACCCCCCCCCAGTCGCAAACTGTCACCCTTTCTTACCCCCCCCCCCCCCCCCTGGAGCGTGACGTACTTTATGGACGGCCCCTTAGCTGGAGGGTATTTCTCCCCTCCCCCAACCTCCTTGGGTGTGCCCCGTTTTTTCCAGTTCATGATTTGGTCACCCTATCCTACTTAACAACTATTCAAGCTAGGTTTAACTTCCTCCCATATTGGGAGTACAGTACAGTACAGCACCAATAATCAATTAAAAATATTAATAAATATACTTTATCTTCTTTTTATACAAAGTTGACAAATTTGTTTACAATGAATGAGTCATTGAGTATTGAGATATGCTTTGATTTTTATAAATATTCCAATTATTATAATTATATCCCAATTTTCCACCAATTTTTATAAATTAAATTATATGAATATGGTACTGTAGTCATTATTATGGTCATGGTTTTTTTGTAAATTCCCTTAGGTTAGGCCTAATAATTATATTCATGTAGTCTAGTAGTGTGTAAAAGGTTAGTAAGTAGGTAAAGTTTGAAAGTTTGTTGGTATATTATTGATAGTGCAAGTCACAGTGAGTTACGTTATGGACAATTAACGCGCATAATTATTGAACTTAATGAAAGAAAAGTTACGAGGGGTTACTACAATTTACAATCTAAATCTAAGGCTCTGACTAAGGCAAGGCTTAAGAATGAATTATGAAGAATAATTAATAATATGAATGTTAAGCTGACTGGTGGGATTTATTAATTAAACTTTAATTGCAACTATCCCCGACTTCATTAATTAGATACCGAGCGAAGACAGTATTCCGAGCGGACACAGTATTCATCAAACTCAAACAAACCATTTAGAATTGTTTACAATAAAACACCTGCAATTATTTTTAGACTCTCCACTGACCACTCTTCCACTGAGCACTGGGTTACAGGGCTGCCACTCACTTTTTTCAAATTTCCCAAGATTTGGTGAACAAATTTCCCAAGATTTCCCAAGATCATACAAATATATAAGAGGTTTTTTTTTAAAGGGGGGTTTTCTATGTAATTAATGTAATAATAGATTGAATCAATGCCCCTGAAAAACATGGTATATTAATGGACTGAAATTTATTGAAAAAGACATTTAAAACATGTTTATCACATTTAAAAAAAAAAAATTTGTTTTTAAAAAAATAATTTATAATCCAAAATATCAATACCCACTGGAGTTAGGCTACTAAATATTACCTCCGAATTCTCTGATAAAAATATAATCTACAATACATGTGTAATAGAAGTCACTTGGAAAAAAAAAGCATACAAGGCTAATCAACACAGAATTCCTTTTACAAAGGCAAAAGTTTCTTCATCAAAAAATGATTTTTTATTATTGTAAATCTGTTGATTACAAGTGGGGTTTGCAAAGCAATTAAGCAAAATTTATTAATAATAATTGTAGTTAAAATGGATTGATATTACGATGAAAACAATAAGTGTTTTATTTTTTCTTGTAAAATTTACATTATAACGATTTTTTCACAAAAAAAAAAATACTTTTAAAGGAATTGTTCATTTATAATCCTACAACGTAGGCCTATACTGCCTATACTATTAATATCTTAGTTACCCGTGTTTCAATCCACAAATATTTTTTCTAATTGATGAAAATTAGGCTGGATTTTTTACAGATGCATTATATTTTGAACACATTGTAGAAGTAATTGAAATAATAAAATTCTACTATGGCATGGATTCTTGATTGAACACTATCGTTCACTCTTTGGCTTGTACTGTTTTTCGTATGGTTGCTAATGTCTAAGAGCATAATGATAAAGTTTCCGAGCCTACCCCCCCCCCATTTAATAAACATTCAAAACCTGGATGTAATTTGTAAATCTTCAATTTTTTTTTTTTAAGAGAAAATTGAATTTTTTTTCTAAAATTATTAACTTTTTAATAATTCACAATATTAACTTTAAAATCAGAAGAGTTTTTATTTATTTTATGAGTGGATTTAAAAATTAAAACCAGAAAAGAAAATGAAAACAATTAATTTTTTGCCTTGTTACTTTAAAAATTATTTTGCTTTATTTTTACTTTATTTTTTATCAGATATTGTTGCGTTTTTTTTCGAAAAATATAACAAAATTTCCCCCCCAGTTAAGATTTCCCAAGGTTTTGCATGATTTTCAAAATTATTCCCCAGATCCCAAGGGGGGTCGTGAATTCCCAAGATCTTGGGAAATTTCCCAAGGTGTGGTAGCCCTGCTGGGTTACATAAAATTTTCTTTTCTTTAAAATTTGGTCACTCTTCTTACCAAATTCAGATAAATATCCGAGGTATATTTTAAAGGAGTATATTTTTAAATCCTTTATATTAACTTCGCTTTTGCTTTTGGCTTTTGGGGTTACTGGTTGGGTGGCAAAATCTTCGGACGGCTAATTGGCCCACTTTCCGTCAATCTATCGAGCTTAAACTTGGCACATAAGACTCGTTGCCGATGACAATACATAGTTTCAAAATTTCAGCCCCAAACTCCCAAAAAGCCGTTATACCTATTTTTTCAAGGTCAAGGGGAAAATACCTTTTTTTAAAAAAAATTAAAATTGCTCATAACTGATTGCGCTTAAAAAAAAATGAGATTATCCTTTAAAACAATCGCAAGTGGTGTAATATTTTCTTTTATTTTTTTCTGAAATAGTTGGTAAAATTAATCTGCGGCGGCGGTGTAAAAGCGGGTGGGCCGTTTTAGAGTACACATATAATATTATAGTTCGGGGTCGTGAAAAAAATGTGCGGTTGCGAGCCGGGGGGGGGGGGGGGGGGGGGGGGGGGTGGGGTCGAGCATTAATCGGGATTCTTATAAATTTCGTTACTTGAACGCATTTTTTTCCCCAATTTTCAGTCCCAACCCCCCCCCCCTCCCCGCAATAAAAAAGATATAATAAAGATTTATACCAAAAACTTTGTGTTTAGGGGTTGTTTAATTAATCAGTTAATCATTTTTTAAAAATAATAATAAACTATTTTCACACGTATGGGCTAAGCGAAATTCATGAATGTTATTGAAACGTTTAATGATAAGTTTTCAGATTTAGATTCATTTACTGGTCAAGGACTTGATTTCTTATATATTTATTCCATATTTATGGCAGGCTATTAATACAGCTTAGTATAGACTTAGCGAACTAGGTTGAACAAAAATAATCATTTTGGTAGAAGGCCTTGGAAATAATGTTATGTTCTTTTTGTTTTAATGGGGATTTTATCCTGCAACAATTATGAAATCAGTTATCAGGCAAATGAAAATAACAGGATAAAATTTTTATCATTGGGTGTCTTACAAATTTTTTGCCAAGCACTAGTCAATCTTTTTTCTGAACTCACTATTAAATAACTAATGAAAATGGAGAGCGGGATATTTGAGGTAGCATGTTGTTTGCGATCAAGCTTGTAACAAATAAAACAAACAAAAGTCCAAAAGTTAGTTGTTTTGTTGCATCTCATTTCTAGGTTTTAACATTCTTCAGTACCTACTACTACTACTAGTAAAAATAGTAATGTATTCGGAATGGATAAAAGCTTACAACGCATGTTAATACTCTAATCAATTCTTAGCTGTCTTCCAGATAATAGATCACTTAGTGGAAAAAGAGGGTTTTAATCAAAGTCAATTTGTGAATGTTCCAGCGAATGTGAATGGGCACATTTAGATATAAGGGTGGAGCAAACTTCATTGTCATGGGCACATTTAGAGATTAGGGTGGTGTAAACTTCATTGTCATGGGCACATTTAGAGATTAGGGTGGTGCCAACTTCTGTGCACACACACACCCTTGCACATTTACAGAAAAATTATTTTTAAAACTAATGAATCATTTTGAAAGCCATTTGTTCTAGAAGAGAGCATTATTTTCCCTCAAGACAATTTTAAATTGAATTTCAATTGGAATGGAAATGGAGAATATAAAGGGAGCGGAATATAAAGTTTACAGGGAGTGCTTAGTTCAGTTCTGTGGAGATGAAGATAAAAAAGATCACAATACATATTATAACTGAAAAAAAAGATTATTTTTATACTATAATTTGTATAATTCAATACAAGAATTTTGAAGTATTCTGTGTGTATTTTTTAAACTGAAAAGCACATTCTTCTTTGTTTGTCTGTGTTCACTAAACTTGAAATAAATCATGACTCCACTTATATTCACTGACAGGTTGTATCTTATAATCTAATGTTTTTTTATTACCTTCAACCTTCTGATTGCTATTTTCAAGTCAGTTGTGATATCGGGTAGTTCAAAACTTAGGTGACCCAATGTTGTGGATGGCACTTCAAAATAACAATTAAAAAAAGAAGAACTACATGATTAAATTTTTATATTTATCAATATTATTCAAAATAATTGGATTAACATTTGTATGATTTCTGATTAAAATCTCATGCAAGCTGCTGAAATTCCTAAAAACAAAATGAAAGGACAAAATTAAATTGCACAAACATTATTCACACACAAATTAATTTTAAAAAATAAATTCCAAATATATCATGTCAAATGGATATCAATAACCTGGTTTAAAATTACATGGTGTGTAATCTATATCTCAAATATAATGTCATTAAAAAAATTGCAGTTTATTGTTTAATAAATTATTATATTGCTTTGTACAGAGCCATAAAATATTTCTTTGCTTTGTCTGGTTCAGATTTTATTTAATGAAGATGAATTCACAGAGGTTTATTCTATCATACTATCATAAATAAATGTAACATCCTTTTAAAGGGCAGTTCTAATTCATATCAGTTGTGTAATAATAACTAACGGAAATCCTAGTTTTTAAAATGCAGAAGCAACTCGTTTTAATCATATCACTATTATTTCATTATTACTAGGAATAATAAAATTATTAAAAAATAGATTAACATGGGTAAATCAAGTTTATCTCCATCATCAAAAGCTAAAAATATATCAACTAAACTAACATATCAGCCACATTTTTCAGGATACATGTCTGCCCATGTAGTAATTGCAACCAATGCTTTGAAATGTGCAGGTATGTGCAATGCAAATTTGCTAATTAAGATCGTAATAATAATACTATTCAAAATCTGTACATGTTGCAAATAAAAAGAACATTCGACAAAATCTATTCCCCTAAATATAAATAATAACTTTTAAAAAGAGAAATTGAACAAAAAAAATTAACAATTTGAAATTGAACATTTTATACTTTTAAAAAGAGACTTTATAACTTTATAAATACAAGTTAATATTATGCTTTTAATCACTTGTACATTAAAAGAAATCATTAGAATTAAATAGATTTACAATAACTTCATCAGTAAGTAGATTTTACAGTTATGACATGTAATTGTAACTGAAGACAACAAAAAGCAAATATCATTATGATTTATCAACACATGGGATCAATGTTTGAACTTTAATTGTCCTACTAATTGCATCCAGGTGAAGAGTGTTGAAATATACAAATCCTACATGTTTAGATCTTTCATTGAATAACACTAAATGTTCATAAATACTCATATTCTTATGCAGAAAAACTTGACAAATAATCACCCGGGGCAAGGAGTTCAAAAATAAGAGTTTATTAAGTCTTGTGTGCTTTATAATTCCTATGATATAATCAGAACACCTAATAAGTAATATTTCCTTCGCTCATGACTCAAAAGCATACATTTGAACACAGCCAAACTTTAAAGAGGAGACCACCATTAATGTGAATTGGGTACTGAATCTTTTTCGTCTAAAATAATTGGTTCTGCACCATTTTGAACACTTTTTGTGTTATCATTGTTATTGAGATCCATAGATGAGCTCTGCTTTTGCCACAACTGTGCATAAAGGCTGTTGGGGTCTGAAATAAGTTCAGGATGAGACCCTTGCTCTACCACCCTTCCTTTATCCAGCACAAGGATCTGATCTGCATCAACAACAGTTGACAGTCTGTGAGCAATAACAATAGTTGTCTTCCCTTGGGTAACACGTCGAAGGGCTTGAAGAATATTCTGAAATGTTACAAATGAATGAGAAATTATTTACACCTGTATTCAAACTGCATCCCATTAAAACCGTCTGACATGATTCTACTGTATGAATGAACCTATTGCAAGCTAAAATAGATTCAAAGAGATGCTACTGGATTTTTAAATTAATTTAACACATCTTGACAGGAATTTGTTTGTCTCTTGCAAATAAGTTTATCAGTTTTGAAAACAAACAATTATTTTAAAAGAAATTTTAAAGAACAATGCTTAAATTATTGACAATGTTAGGGTTACCTGCTCTGTGATAGTGTCTAAGGAAGAAGTGGCCTCATCATAAATCACTATTGGTGGATCTTTCAGAATGGTTCTGGCAATCGCTACTCTTTGTTTTTCACCGCCTGTTGAAAATGACCTAAATTATTTAACCCAAAAAAAGTTTTTGTTTTTGTGTAAACAGAAAATACATCCAAAAAAAAAAAAAAATTAAATAATGTCAATGGTCAATGCAGAAATTTTTTTTAAAGCCTTTGTCTTAATTCTGGTTTGCATTGCAAGGCTAAAAAGTTATTAACATGACACAGAAAGTATTTTTGAGTCTAGGTAAAAATTATTTTACTAAACATTGAAGAGGAGAAAATTTAAATAAAAATAAAACAGTGAACTCCATTATTCTCACCAGATAACTTAAGCCCTCGTTCTCCAACTTGTGTTTGATATTTATGTGGAAATCTGTTCATTATTGCATCATGAATTTCTGCCATTTTGGCTGCCCTGTGAACCTCTTCTTCTGTGGCCGAAAGATTGCCATAAGCAATGTTGTGATATACAGTGTCATGAAATAAGACACAATCCTAGTGAGATTGAAAGATTGCCATGAGCAATGTTGTGATACAAAGAGCAATGAAATAAAACACAATCCTAGTGAGATTGATAGTCATTTGTATTTGTAGTTTGTAGATAATGGTTTTCTGATACAGCTATAAATGGTACATTAAAATACATTTCAAGAAACATTAACCATGTGACAAAGTTTAACAAACAATTTTTTATATACTGCCAGCTAGGTGACCTGCAAGAGTTGTAAATAAAAACTTCCTATCACAAAGAGTGGCAGACATTTTGAGAAGCATTCACATAATGATTCATTGACAATATTTAAGTACCTATTTAGTTGGCAACATATCACTGAAATATTTTTTTTTCTATATGGTATATCATTTTGTAGAGCAGTGGCCCTTAGCTAATGTACCGCAGCATACCTAACTATGGAGAAATTAAAGCAGAACTGTGAGGACAGGATACACTTCTAATCAAAATTTACTTTATTCGTGTTGATAATTTAGCTTAACCTGATAAAAGATTTGAGATTAGCCTTTTCTAATAACAAATAGTTTGAAACCATAATATGTTACCTGAGGAACAACACCTATTGCTTTTCGAATGCTTTCCAGGTTTACATTTTCTATCTCCTGTCCGTTGATCAGAATACTACCTTTCTGAGGATCATAAAACCGGAAGAGAAGTCGAACAATGGTTGATTTGCTAAATGAAAGAAAAGAGTACCGTATTTAGATATGTAATTAATCCACATAGTTTTTATCACTTGATGAATAAATAAAATTAAAATTTTTGATAACCTCTTTATAAAATATATTTCTTGGATATTTGAAACTTTGATCATGGATCATTTTGGATAATTTATAGAAACCTTGACATACTTAAATGTTCCTTTACTCTCAGTTTAAATTAATCCTCTTTACTACTTCACCTTTATCATATTTACACTGTGGAGCTACTAAACTCACCCTGATCCACTGCCTCCAACTATTGCAACCTTCTTGCCAGATGGAACTGTAAAACTAAGACCATTTAAGATGCTATGACCCCTGACATACTCAAAGTAGACATCTTGGAATGTGATGGTGGATTCACTAGGAGTCACTTGAAGTAGCGGGGCATTCAATTTACTCTGGTCATTAAATATAACATCAATATAAATTTTTATCAAGAAAATATGAAATTGCAAGTAAACAAACACCATAACATGCAAATATATTGTAAAATACCAAACAAGCTTTAATAATGTAACTAAATTTTACAGTGACATTTTTGTTAATTTTGTGATCTTTTATTTTTTATTGTGGTCTCTATAGCAGAAAATGCATGAATATCTCCTGCTGTGATGTATGACTATAATCCCAATATACATTTATTTTAATGATTACATTTCACCTAATGGAATTAAATGTCTAACAAATAATGAACAGTCAATATAACTTCACTGTTTCCTTAACGCCTTGGTTACCTTGATGCTGGTCGTCATATTCAAGAGACTGAACATTGCATGCATATCTATCAATGACTGCCGCACTTCTCTGTACACTGAACCAAGGAAGTTGAGAGGCAATGAAAGCTGGAACAACAGTCCATTCACCATGACAAGGTCACCAACTGTCATTGTGCCTAGGAGAGTCAAACTGAAATTAGTTTAGACAGTCTGGTACTCATGAGATGAAAAATTATTAATACAAGCTCACTAAGTCAGCGTTAATTAAAATGTTTGTTGAAACAATATTTTATGAATAGTTTATGAAAATATTAACTGATGGGTAACTATGCTTTACCTGCCATGATATTGTTACTAGCCATGATCATCACGGCAGTGAGACCAACACTAAATATAACATTTTGACCCCAGTTCAACATGGCCAAACTGACAGTAGTTTTCAGAGAAGAATCTTCATACTTTTTCAGTTGCTTATCATACTTGTCTGCTTCATATTGTTCATTGTTGAAATACTTGAAACAAAAACATTTGAAAATAAAAAAGAAGTGAATGTAAAATAAAAAGAAAGCTAAACATCGAAATCAATTATTAAAAAAGTTATTATTTTTAAATGATTGGTTCCTTTGGCATTAGCTTTAAATAATTTACATTGCTGTCAGCATTAACAGAATCCTAAGTTGGTCTGACATCATTTAGAAATATATTTACAAAAAATAGTCGCTTGATTACCTTGACAGTTTCATAATTGATTAGAGAATCTATGGCTTTGGCTCCTGCTTCAGAATCAGCTTTATTCATCATGACTCGAAATTTAGTTCTAGAAAGATGAGAGATACTTGACATGCTAATATTAGCCTTCATTTAAGCAAGAGTTAAAAAAACTATGCCCTATGCTGTCATATAATTTAAATTCTGATTGATAGTGTGAAAAAAAAAAAGATTTTATAAACTGACTTAAAATAAAGCTGCAAATAAGGCAGTTTACATACTTCAATCCTTATATGAAATAATAAAGAAAACAAATATTATTTTTTTAGTAGTATTTCACCAAATATAATAATAGAAATATTTTAAAGCCCCCACATCCCACCCACCCACCCACCCCAAGGATGGATTTGTAACCAGTACTAACCTCCATTGAGTAATTGCTAGTGTGAAAAGAGTGTAGGATGCAACACACCCCAAAGTGACTAGAGCAAAGTTTCCACCACATTTGTAGTACTGAAAATGTAAAATTTGGCATGAACTTTCAGCCATTGGGAATTATAAATGTTTGTTGATTTAGAATAAATGAATAGCCGGAATTACTACATACTAGTAATGAGGCTTTCAAAATCTTTTGAATAATAATTGTGCTGGTAAATGAACAGATTTTAAAAATTCAGTAAAAAAAAATGTGTATTTCTCATATTTGATTGACACATTAACTACTCCTGTCTATACCTCTGTTATGCATCTTCCTTAATGTCCACACACTACTGCCTAATGCAGTAGTTTTTGCTACTTGCTCACGGTTTAATTTATTTTTGTTAAAATTAACATCTATGTTTCCTAAAGGCATTATCACTCCTTGCTTGGGCATATAAGAGAGTTAACATCAAAATTAGGTTAGGTATGACTGCGTTAAATGACAAGAATCCTCTTCTTCTTCTTCTATATTTTAAGGGCCCACGATCAATTTATTGATCATTTTGGCTCCTATGCATGTAGATGGGATTTGCAATGTTTCTGTTCCTGGTGTTGATGAGGAAATTTCACTGATTTCCAGTGCCATTTTGTGAGGGAATCATGCACTTGGGGTTTGAAGGCTTGAGGCAATAGACACAAATGTGTCTAGTGTTGTCGTCTCAACCTTTCCTTTTGAAAGCTTGTTCCAGTCCCTGATTGTCTTGGGCAGGAATGAGCAGCTGCTATACTGGCTTCTTGCTGGTATGAGCCTGAATTGCCTGTCATGGCCTCGTCGCTGTCTATGGGGGAGAGGGACGAGTTTCTGTTTAATACTGGAACAGTGTACCAGTCCATTATTTATCTTGTACATCATGGAGAGCCTGGATTGTCATCGTCGTTCCTTCAATGGTGACCAGCCTTGTGTTACCAGCATGCTGCCAACACTAGAGGTATTCCTGTAGCGGTTTAGGACAAAGCGTGCTGCTCGTCGCTGGACCGCCTCCAACCTGTCAACGATCTTCTGGGTAAATGGGTCCCAGACTGAAGATGCATAATCTAAAACCGGACGGACAAAGGCTTTATATGCTCTTTCTTTTACACAGGAGTTGCCAATCTTTAGATTTCGCCTTAAGAACCAAAGGGTCTTGTTTGCTTGGATACATACATTTTTAATATGTTCGTCCTTTGAATGGTAACACCCAGGTACTTTACGGAGGAAACTGGCTCAAGTATATGGCCGTGCAGTTCGTATTGGTAGTGTAGAGGAGTACAACTTCTAGAGACTGATAGTGTCTGGCACTTGGCAGGGTGAAATTCCATGTCCCAGCTCATCTCCCACTCAGCTAACAGATTGAGATCCTGTTGTAGCTGGTCCTGGTCAGTAGGACTGATCCCTGGGGGACCCCTGACTTCACATCGACAAAGGAGGAGCTTGTACCGTCCACCACTACTGCTTGGCATCGGTGGCTGAGGAAGCTAGAGATCCATGTTTTAGTGGTGCCTTGGATCCCATATCTCTGGAGTTTGTGTAGAAGCAAACTATGATTCACACGGTCAAATGCCTTTGCGAAGTCCATTACCAGCACGTCAGTCTGCTTGTGGTTCTCCAGATTGGTCATCAGGTCTTCTACAAATTCAAGAAGCTGGGTCTCACATGATCTATTGACTCAATCATCAATGTATTCAAGTAATGTGAAGCTTTATTTAAACATAGTAAGAAAAAAGCTTACTTGCAGACTTAATCAAGTACCGACTTTAAAATTTAACTTTAAACAATTGTGAATTGCTACATATTTTTTACAGGAACTGTAAACCTACCAGAACTGAGCTTACAAAGCTGACCTCAAGAATCGTGGGAGCAACATTAAACACCAAGGCACTTAAGACAAAGTTAATTCCCCTGAAATATTTTAAAAATCATCACATTCTATCAAAAGTTCTGATGTCATATGAAATCTTTCTAGCACTAAATAAAATGGATATGTAACTTGTTGCGATAAATGAAATGGATATGTAACTTGTTGCACTAAATGAAATGGATATGTAACTTGTTGCACTCAATGAAATGGATATGTAACGTGTTGCACTAAATGAAATGGATATGTAACTTGTTGCACTAAATGAAATGGATATGTAACTTGTTGCACTAAATGAAATGGATATGTAACGTGTTGCACTAAATGAAATGGATATGTAACTTGTTGCACTAAATGAAATGGATATGTAACTTGTTGCAATAACAAAAAGTAAGCCTATAAATACAATGCATGGAAAATGCTTATTCTTAAAATAACAAGATGAGGATGTCATTAAATTTAACGAAAACATAACTCACCGAGTTCCCCGATCGATAGCTTTTGATAAAGCACCAGTTTGTCTAGAAAGGTGAAAACTCAAATCCATAGAATGCAGGTGCAAGAAAACATTTCTAGCAACTTTGCGAATAGAACTTTGTGCGACTTTGGCAAAAACAGCATTGCGCAGCTCATTAAAAGCTGCAGCTCCTGTTCTAGCGAGGCCATCTGTTTGGAAACAAAACTCACATTACATAGTTCCTTTTTCATTTAAAAAAGGGAACCTTAAAAAAACTATTTAGCAAAATAATAAAGGTGTTATACTTATTGATAATTAAATTCATGGCCATATATTTTTTATTTTAAATCTCTTTTAAGACAAGAAATAATTGATTGGATAAGTTTATTTAAAGTTATCGCACAATGAATCTTATTGACTTTTCTTTCTTGAAATTCAAACAGTAAAGAGACTTTACACACAACTAATTATGTGGCACTTACATCCCACCATTATTGCAAATGCAACGGTGAAAATGGTTTTTCCCGCATCCTCTATCCCTAGCCAGTTAGCTGGGGTGTTAAGATAATCAACCCCATGTTTAAATATAAAGGGTACGGTCACATTGAGAGCCTGTTGAAGATAAAACCTTCACATTAAACAAAACCAACAAGATAGAAAATAACCATTAACATAACTTAATTGCTCAGTACATTCATTGTTACCAACCTTAAGTTGAGTAAACTTATATTTTTTGCTTACCTTGGCCCCAACCAATAAACTTAGTGCCACAATCACTCGGATACGAAAAGACAGATTGTTTTTTGGCCAAATGTAGACAAGCATGGACTTGACAATATCAATATAACGAACTGGTTTGGCATTTGTTATTCCTATTTCATTAGGTGTCAAGTTGGAAGCTCCAGGATGCCAACTTCTCTTTTGTGGTGTAAATTTAAGAATGATCTGAGTAATGTAGAAGAAAATCACATTTAAAATAGTTGTTAATTCATAAGAAATTAAATATTTATTCAAAAGTACTAGAATTTGCTGTTTTGAAATGATGGACACCTATATACATTGTCCTTTTTTATATATTTTTGTATCATATACTAAGTGTTACGTGTTGTATGGTTTTGCAAATTTAACCCGTTTTAAGATTTGGCTGATTTGTTGAACAATATGTAGCAAAGGACTGAAGACAGTAAACAAACAAACAAAAACGATACAAAAGCTAGTGATATTATCAATATTCAATTTAATAACACTAATAAATTTATATAAATATATAAACTTAATTAGAAACAAATAAAAACTATATTAACTTACAGTATAGCAAGTAAAAAAAGTACAATCCTCGAATTATACAAATATTAATACACACACACTCACACAAAGAGGACAATTTTTAAAGGGTTCTATTAGTATATTATGTCTCCTTTTTAGGTAAGCAAAAAGTCTCTACCCGGCCTGGGAAAGCTGCTGGTCTTTTAATAGGGAGTGAGTTGAAACCCTCCAGAAAAGAAATTCTAGAAATGATATCGTCCGATATTATCATTATGTTAAAAAAATTAGAACGTAATCAACCTTTTCCCAATCAAGGCAGGGAGGGAGTGGTGCAGCGCTACACATTTAATTGGGACGTCAATATCAAAAACAAAAAAGGGGACACAGGTGGTGATTGCCACAATGATATGGTGAAGTAAAATTAGGTCAACACATATGCTATAACACAAGTAGGCTATAATATATGATAAGAGTAAGCCTCACACAATTACATTACAAGGAACTTAAACAAATTTATTCATTAAGAGAAATTCATTACTTTGAAATATTATGCATATTTTTTGTTTGGATTGTTTGTTTGGTTTCTTAGTTCATTCAATATCAAAAAAAGAAATCAGATAAAAATCGACAAACGTGTAGACAAGTGTAAACAAGTTTGGTCCTGCACAACCACAAAAATATATTTTAAAAAAGCATTATGTTATTTTTACTTTGAATAAGACAAGAGTAATATTAATATTAGCTGAAAATTAATTAACAATTTTTGTTGGACGTCTGGAATGAATGTTTCATCTTGAGAGTAAATTCCACTACCATTAAGCAACTTAAAGAGCACTTGGACTTTGTACTATTTTATGAGATCAACAATGCAAACATAAAGTTTCCATGTCAGAAAACTTGCACAATCATTATTTCCTTCTGAAGAAAAGAGAACAAAATTGAAAACCAGAGACCAAAACTTACTCTTTTGAACAATGGTAACTTTGGTAAAACCGGACTTTTAACAGGCTGACCAGGTCCATTTCTACTAGCATACTGTTTGGACTGAAAAGAAATGACAATGTTTTTCATTTTATTTGGGAAAAATGTATAATCAATAAACATGACTTTACAAGAAATCTATATCTGTCTATTGGGGACAAAATTAGGACTCTAGCATTACTCTTAAATCCAGCTGCTAAGATGGGGTTGTTTCTTGCAGTACGGCAAACGGGTAGGTAAATACCAACTGATGTTCTCACTGGAGGGACTTGCAAGTATGTGTGCAGCGTTTTCCCTCAGCGTGACGAGTATGGAAAAGAATGGACTACTTGTTAAACACAGCTTATATCTGCAATAGGGGTATTTATCATGGGTTGACCCTTTGATCATGAGGATGACCATGGCCAATGAATTAAAAAATAAGTTGTACAAGCATGAACAAAAGTGAAATAACTCATGCAAAGTGGGTTAGATTCTAGAGAGGTATGCTTACTACACAGCAGTATATAAAATTTGACCGTCCAGTCTGCTTCCATCACATCACCAGAATATATATATATACACAGTAGAACCATGCTGAAACACAAATTGAGATAACTTTGCATGGCTCCCAGAATGTTTTTTTTTTTACATATTTGCACAAGAAAATATTTCTTCAAAGTACGAGAAAAAAACAAATATAGAAAATATTCAACTTCATTTTGGGATTAAATCATGTATTAGGTGGAATATAATATCTTCTTGGTGTGGTTCTTGATATTTAAAATTAATAAAACGAAGTGGCTATTCGGACCCAGGTCCATGAAGTGAGAGGTTGGGATTAAAATTTTTTTTAAAAATATTATTGTTAGATTGAAAGACAAAATTTGGTATCAAATGAAAGATAATTGAATGGACTATATGTTTGTAAACTTACTTCCTTAGTTTCACTAAAATAAACTACCACAAATGACATAATATTGATATGAGGCTAACTTCTGAAATGCTCTGCCCCAACACCTTCCCCCATCCCATCTCAAAATCCTACAGTTAGGGTCGATGGTAATTGTAAGCAAAGGGGTAGGGTTGTTGTTGTTTAATCACTTTTTCTTATTTCCCATTGCTCACCATCCCCTAAACGTTCAACCCAAACATCCCCCCCCCACCTGGATCGATACCAAATATGTCTAGGAAGCGTTCTAATTATATTATAAAAGCAGAGGGTCACACTGGTCTATTGGCATGAAGTTTGCTCCCACCCTTCCACCCGAGTCAAATTTTTCTCTTACCATACTACTTTAAAATGCATTTTTAAAATGGTAAAAGGCAAAGTATTCATTAGATTTGAATCTAGTAGAATTCACAACAATCTCATTTTTAATTTTCCTGCGGCTGATTTTTGGCTCTTTCGACTTATGAGTTTGCCTAACACTTGGTTAGGGAAAGCTTTAATAATTCATGTCCCAAAGTTAAAAGTTCAAAATAAGCAGTTCCTAAAAAGTATTGTAATAATAAGGGGATGTTTTGCCTTACATAAACTATATAGTCATTGCAAACAGCAGAATGATATCACAAGATGTGGACGTTTCGTCCATAGTAATAAAATAAACAAAAAAGCTCCCACTTTAAAAATTCATAGCTCAAAAAGTACGAAAGCTAAAAAGTTGATTTGGGTCTCATTTTTTTAATTTGAAATTTGCTCTAAATAGCTGTAATATTAAAAAAATTAATTTGAATTTTTTAATTTTTTTTTACTGAAGTACCTACTATCACTATCACTTATAACTTAACTACCTGATAAATATTGCAAGTGGGCCATGAGTATATATATATATAGCGCCGATATAGCGTCGGTAATTATAACATTAAAATAGACCCAAAACAGCTTTAATAACATAAAATACAACCAACAAAACTGTAGTTAACACAGTTTCAAGTTTATTTAAAGCACCATTCTACTCTGAACCACAACAGACTGTCTAATCACGGATAGTTTCGACAAGCGTAATTAGGAAGTTCGGAAACATGTCTGTGCGCCGAAACTGGTTACAATAGGCAAATTCTTGCAGCTATGAGAGAAACAATGCACGACTAGTTCCAAATTGTCTTCTCAACTTCCGCTTCGCTCTCATCCACATGTTTTCGATGTTCTGGGTATGCACTTCGCTTTCATCAGGATCCATGAAATTACATTCGTGAACAACAACAGAATGCTTGTATATTCCGTGTTCGATTTGATCTATGTGTGCGTATGCAGCCCAGCCATCGAAAACGATGTGTGTCCCTGGCAAGATGTGAGCTTCTATACAGGCTTGTAGCCTGTCTGCGCGCCTGTCTGGCACTTCCAACAAGAAGCACTTGCCACTTGTGCGCTCGACCCCACCGAAGACCCAGTGGCCATCCCGACACTGACCACCATATTTCCTGTGGAAATAATTCGTTTCATCTATCTCCACAATTATAGGTTCTCCATTTACGTCTATTCCACCAATTTCGGTCGCATTACGTTCCAGCTAAGTTTCACACACCTCTCACATGTAGTTGCACCAATCAATTACAAGTTTTTCGGCAACAGCGGCCTTATGCTGTATCTGTGTCTGTGGCATATCATATGACCAACAATACACCATGGTGACAATTTGTTGTAATGATTAGTGACTGCGTGAAAAGAAATAATTGGGTCGCACAGATAGGTGATGTCAAGGGTATGAGAATCACTGTTGTTATGTGTAGATTACTGTTGTCAAGTCTGGTAGGGAAAAGATGTTTAGTGATTTCATGTGTAGCTGTATCGATGGTGTGAGAGTGTTGTGACGTATTTGGGTAAAGGGAAATGACAAGAGAGTTTTAGCTGTTGTGGATAGAATACATAGATGGCCGTTGTGTGATATTCAAGACGTGGATTGTTTTGTGTGTGTGGAGGATTCGGCTGGATATATTGTTGAAGTAGAACGTTGATTAGTTCACGAGTTGGATTGTTGGTGTACATTGATCCGCCAGGTTTGGACGAGGTATAATAAACTTATACCAAGATATTCAGTGTTTGCTGTGTTGATGTCGGTTGCACTAGTCTGTGTGAAGAAGTAAGAGACGAGGATGTTGTCCCACGGGTGAGCATCTGGCTTAGAAGGGTGGAAGAGCACATACGGTATGTATCCCTTCAACTATTCCTATGTCAACTAGTCAACTGTCGTCTCCTGATCTCTCTCGACTATTCTCTCTCAACTGCTACATCTCTCTCCTTAGTGTCCCCAAACCTCCACCTTATAGGTACACCTCATGTGAGTATAACCTCAGACCTGTTTACCCCAAAACTATTAAAGTCGTACAATATCATCACAAAATCGTTCAATACAGTATCTTAATAGTGAAAAATAAACATACAGTCTTTATGATGTATACACCTTAAAATCGTACATTGTACGCCAAAATTGTAACAGTAAACAGGTCTATAACCTCTACTAGATAACCATCACACAGTCATTGAATTGCTACATCATTAAAGAAAACATTCCCCGACTGGATCCTTTTACCCCCGGACGTCCTTTTCATGTACCTACCCAGCTATTAGCATCTATCACTTTGAGACATTTTCCATTACTGAAAATTAATCTAACTCTACCCATGGACTTCGTGAACATTCCACTTCCACCTGCAAGCGTAAACTTTTTAATCGAAAACATTTGTGATACCCGCTCCCACAATTTCTACCCTTTTCTCCAAACTATCCTGTTTTCCCTGTACTACTATAAACTCTGCCGATGTCAGGCTATCAATTCCCTCATCTATTGTACTTTTGTGCGGTAGCTACGCCCATCTTCTCCTGACTCCAACATGGTCATTTGTGACAATTTAAATAATTTAAATTTCTTTTAACGTAGAAACTTCCTGTTGTCTGCTAAAGTATTTCCGGTATGGTAGTGGGTGCCATCTATCTAAGTATTAATTACCAACGCTATATTGGAGTTTCACCGTAATTATTGAATAATTCATTTAGGTTAGGCTGCTTGTTCTGTTAGATACTTCGATGAAACAAGGGAGACTACTACTTTTTGTGTATCGGAAATAGGCGTCGGCGCTGAAAAATCTGAGATTTTAATTTTCCGATGTGTGTGTCTATTTATTATTAAATGAGTGCTTTCGACACATATTTGAGTTCTGTTTACGGTCTTATAATTTGGAAGACATCTTGGCCTACATCTCCATCCAGCTATTTTGCTTTTTTCAATCGACCTTTATTTTGAAAATCTTTGGTATATATAAGGCATCTTCACATACAAAATTTTTTGTGAAATAAAGGGAACATGTCTTTTATATTAAATCGTGTAAAGCATTAGATATTGAAGTATATGTGTGCCAATTCTCATTGATGTAGGTCATGTCCCACGTTTGTTACGCTTATCCAAGTGACCCATATCACCATAAGGTCACTCAGCCTAAATTAGTCATGGCGTGGGCCACGCCCCCTTTTTAATGGCGGAAGTTGCCGATACTTAGGAAATATTTAATTATTACCGGTATATACATCAAAATATTTGATAACTTGTGTTTCAGAATGCATTTTGAAGACATTTAAACTGGAATGTTTTAATTTGAGCTCTAAAAACCCGGTAAGTCCTTATTATAAATTATCAGAAATTTCCGTGTGCAACACGTTGTCATTGGCAACCATTCACAGCCACTTGCATAATGGCTGTATCGTAGTACTACCTCAGAGTTTTATTCATAAGAGTTTGCTGTGTGCAAAAACTTTTAAACCATTGGTCAGGGAATGCTTTCATTAATTTTTCATGTGCCAAAGTTGAAAGTTTAAAATAAGTCGACCCTAAACAGTACTTAAGTGATGAAGGGATTAGTTGCCTTATATAAACTATATAGTCATTGCGCATGACGCGATCGGCGGAATGAGGTCACAGAATGTGGAGATGCAGTTCATGTTAAAAAAGGACAAACCAAGTCGTACTTAAAAAATTCATAACTTTAAAACTACAACAGCTAAAAATATGATTTTGGTGTTATAATTATGTAAAAAAATTAGCTCTATTCAACTATGCCATTAATTTATTTTCACAAAATGTTTAAATTTTTGACAAAAATACCTAGTTCTGTTAGAATTAGATTAATCAAATTCTTATTTATTTAGTGATTAGTGTTCTGTCATTTTTTCAATATCTGTCAATGACAATTCAATTTCTGATCAGTGTAGATCAGTGACAGTGAATGAATGATTCAATCACTCACAATCTCAATGCATCAGTCAATGTGAATGTGATTTCACAATTTCACAACTCGAGGCCGGGGTGTCTTTTTTCAACTCACAGTTTGTATCCATTGATGCCTCTGCTGATATATTTTAGTATGTTTCAAATCACCTCTCAAAGCACTGAAAAGTCTAATTTGTGATTGCATATGGAAAACAGATTTTCCACTTGATATTTTTCCATACTGTATTTTGAGGACACTTCGAGTTAAAAAATTGTAGGCTGCCATTATGTAAACAAATATATAGAGTAATGGCCCTTGTTTTTGACCAGTTTTTTCTTCGCAATTTTCAGCCTACATTAATTTTTAGCCTATATTAAATAAATTATATTGTCCGTGATAGAGATAGTTATGTGGGAAATAAAATGGTGTATGCCTAATTTAATTACAATAATAGAATTTCAGAGGTTCCCCAAAAATTCCATATTTTGCACTGCACATTTTATAATTGAAATAGGGCGCTTGGAAAAAATCTAGATGAAGCAAGGGTGTTGTATGTTGGAAAGTTTGGGAATCTTTGGGCTATATATGTAGCAAAGTAACGCCTGGAGTGAGGAACATTTAGCGTAGCTTTGTTGTTGCTCAAGTCGGGATCGACACGTCTGATGAGGTGTCTCAGCAGCAGTGTTGCAGGGGCCGGTCCGCCTTGTGTGACACTTATTTCTTTATATTGAGAATGGCATTTTAGGGCCCAATGAAGATTTTTTTGTGGAAGGGGTGCGTCAAAAGGATTGGTCTGCCCCATGTGGTACTAACCCTAGCTACCTCACTGCTCAGCACCCATTACTCATTTCAAAATATATTTTATAAATGAAATCAAAGGCATAGAAATTAGACAATAAAATGTATCCTGCCACTCAGGACTATGCACTCTGGGATAGCTTGCGAGCTACCCATGCAAAATTTTCCAACGGTCTCGTCTTAGATGTGGACTTTTTTTTTTTTTTTTTTTTTTTTTTTTAACAGAACTGCATTTGGAACTAAAACACTGTCAGCTTTATATATACAGGGTGGGCCAATAAAAGTGAGGACATTTCGTAGCGTAATATTTTACGAGATGTTCTCACTTTTTTTTGGCCCACCCTGTAAAGTATGAAAATATTATTATACTGTACCATTTATTATTAGCAAAAAGACTTTAATATATTTAATTCTGAACTGAACATATATTTTAGTGCAGCTTCTTAAATGCAACTTAGAAAGTTTATAACAGTCTGTTTCTGGAGTGAGTGACAGTGCTGTTCCCTCCGAGAGTAAACATCAATGGCCTTCCTCAACTTCCTGCTTACGCTTCTTTTAATTTAATGAGGTTTTCTTTAACACCTGCTGGGCATGTCAAACTCGTCACTAGACAGCAGATCGACAGCCGGAAACGTCTTCGGTAAAACCCCCACCCCTAAGTCTCTTGAGATGTCACCTCTTTGATTTTTTTTTTTAAACTGCACAAGTCTTTGTAGCCCACGTGCAGGTGTCTAATTGGTATTGCACCCCTCACGTACCTGAAGGTTGTAGGAAATGCAACCTAGGTCCATTTTCTAGAATTGGTAGAGCCATTAAAGGTGACATTAGATAGTGTAGAACACGCTGCGTAATCCATAATCTTAGAGCTGGGCAGCTTGTTCTGCCATCAAATATGCTGAACGTCTGAAGCATGCTGGAGAAACCTCAGATGGAAACTGTGAGTTTCTGCTCATGCTTTTCAAAAAGCATGGATGGTACACACCTCACAGTCCATCATAGAAAAGTGTACTGAGCACGTGTGCCTGTGTATGTACCGTTTTGTACTCCCTGTAAGTTTGATGTTTCCAACTCTCTAGTACAACTTTGCCACATATGCTGCAGATTTGCCTCTTCATCCATGAAAAGCCAACTGAAAATTATGGACCCCATGCAGGTTTTCCCAACCTGTTCTATATTCTGCATCCCTACATATAGTTTGACTAGACCTAAGTCTCTCACCCCTTTATAAAAATAAAAGTAACTGCATTTTCACATTGGAAAGTATACACCTATATTCAAATTAAAGTAATCATTGTCACGGTAAGTTTGCGTCATGTTGTTCTGGGTTTGGTTGTGGGGTTACGTGAGAGAGCAAAAGTTTTTTTTCCTTTAGTAGTCCCCCTTGAATCCCACGAATTGTCTCAGCCACGCATGACCGTGGCGGTGTGTCGGGAAAAAAAAAACATGTGAGGAAAAGAGGTGTGAAATTAGTGTTGTGTGGAGAGTATGAGTAAGATTGCTGTGGATGTAAGAAGGAATTGAGACATTTTCGCTAGGAGTTGGGTAGCTAAAAAGATTTTGATGTAGTAGGGCCTATATGTAGGATTTCTGGACACGTCTATTTTTATTCTAAACACAAAGTGATTATTTCTTATGAATTTTCCACTGTCATGCATATGAAGCCAGTAAATAAAAAGAAACGTGAATCTTTTCACCGCTTTTTTTTTTTTTTTTTTGTATGTGGTTACTTTAAACATACAACACATTAGCTCTGCAGGGGCTATGAGTTCATGCAACACATCAGCTCTGCAGAGCTAGGAGGAGAGGTGTTCTAGACACTTACATTGTTTCTGTGGCCAAAACGAAGGAGATTTAAACTCTATAGAACGTACTATCCGTCACAATCATCACTTTTATTTTCGCACGCTCTCAAATGCCACCTCCGACCCCTGGTAACCTGGGCCAGGTTGGGAAACCCTACCTCCGACGCCAGGTACCTGGTCCAGCTCAGGGTTTCAAGGTTCCCAACCTTGAAACCCTGACCTCTAACGCTAAGGTACGGTATCAGAAGTTCTCTCAACAACTTGGATTGCAATCATGTGAGGGTGTTTTCTACTTGCTCCATTATTTGATTTCAAGCTGATCGAAACCTTACCAGGCATGGGAGGGGCCATTTAAATGCTCCTGTATCCAATTCAAAATAACCTGATTGCAGTCTCTCCCCTTATTACCCCTGTATCCAATTCCATGTTCAGTGTACGATGCTAAAGCTGCACTTCACTAATAACCTTTCCAAATTTAATTCTCGGAGGTGGGCAATGTTAACAGCTGTCAGACTTGCGGTCACTGTGCACAGAAGTAACAAAGAAAAGATGACAACTGTGCACAGAAGTAACAAAGAAAAGATGACAACGGGTATAGTTGCCCCCCCCCCCCCTTACCGGCTTAAACATACTGTGCTCTGCCTATTATTATTACAGCAAGTTGTTCCTTGTGGCCCATAATGAAAGCTATCGAGTATGTAGCGAGGCAGCTGTTGTTCATGACTCATCTCTTGTAGTTAGAATTTCAAGTCTACATTTCATTTGGAATCCAAAAATCACTGCATCAACTTAAATTAATTAAATGTTTTAATACTTTTAACTCGGTAAACAATTTTATTTAATACAGTCATATTTAATATGAGAAGTGATATGAGAAGTAAATATTAAATCTATGTTAGTCTACAAAAAATAAAAGATTTATTTTTGGTTATAATTTTATTGTAAACTTATGAACTACAGTTCTTTTCTTAATTCATTATATAATTCAGATATTGAAAATTTCAGAATTAATCACAATAATAAATATAAGGAATATTTAAAAAATCTGCATCTATTGATGAATATGTGGGAATATTTAATGTTACCACAATCTGACTTAAATGCCTAAAGCTCACTAGCCAATGCTTTGGTGTTGTGTGTGTTATATGTAATTATGTTGGCGCTGTCATTCAACGGTACCAATGTCTGCCTCACAGACAAGGGGTAGCAAGTTTGATTTCATCCAGAGTTATCCCAGCTAATAGCAAGTAAACTATTCTTGGGGAGGAGATGAGTTTTAAATAAAAAGAAACCCACAAAACTGAAAACAGAAGAATGCTCCCAAGCTGGTATGAGATTAAAAATTGCTTCCTCATTCGCGATAGACACACGAATGGGTGTCGTCCAAAGGAATTCTATAACAAATTCTTATAAAAGTACTCAATTGATTCATATAAATTTTATTATAAATTTTTTTATTGTATAATATAACTAGTAAACAATGATGTATTGTATTATCTTAAACCAACACATTGCCGCACTTCTTTAATTGTACACTCTGCAATTGCAGAGGCTTTCTCTGATCCAGACTGAAGAACGTTCAATAAGTATCCTTTGTCTGTGTTAAGCTTGAGAATTTCTGCCCTTATAGGTGACAGCTTAGCTATAATGATATCAGCAAGTCTTTGTTTATACAAATTTGTATCTTCTGCTAGTAAATATGATTCCTCAACAATGTCTTCAACAAAGCTATCTGTCAGAGCCATGTGCATTCCTATCAAATTTGAAACACCAGGGCGGTTTACTGGATCATAGGTCACCTCAGATGTTAGATCTGTAACTGACTTTTTCACTTTCTCTCTAATTTGTTCAGGAGTATCAGTAAGATTGATTCTGCTTTTGTCACTGGCTTCAGATTTACTCATTTTACTGGTGGGATTTCGCAAACTCCTGATCTTTGGTACTTCACCTTTATTGAAATAAATATAACAGTAATAATTTTTCTACAGGTTAAAATACTTTACACATTTTTAGAAAATACTTTTAAAGATTGACTTAAGTAAAATCATGACTGTTAGTTGTATCTTGACTTATGGCACATTGGCCTCCCCATTTATGAACGTCATGTCTCTTTTCACAGTTTGAACTTAGCTCCACCCCTATCCCGACCTATCGCAGTGGACTTACTTCTCCTCTTTTCTTTCCCTCCTTGCCTATTTAATCTCTCACTCACTTACCTTCTGCCACAATTTATTTGGGGCCCATGGATGCTACTTCTAAGCTAAGTGCTATTGTTTATTTTTATACTGTTTTTCTGTTGTTTTGTTACATTCGTTGTTTTGTTGCGTTCCTTTTTTCAGGTTTAACCCTACCTTGTTTTACTCATTTTATATTGCTAGTTGTATAAAATTATTAATTTTTATATGATCAAAAACCATTTTAAATGGTTATTGGTAGTGATAAAATCCATCAAACTAAATCCAAATTACATTCTTATATATGTATTTTTTATTTGCATTATTTAAAATTTCAGTGAAAGCCATTTTAAAATACTAAAGAATTTATCAATTTAAACTTGTAACTAGTAACAAAATGCTAACTAATACCAAAGCAAAACTATTTTTGGATCGCTAAAATTAAAATAAATTGCTCATACCATATTGCCTGAAGACGCTAAAAAATAAAAGTATTATTGCAGCCTTTGAAATGTACAAAATATTGCAAAGATTTTCACTTTGCTTTTCATTCTCTCTACCCAGTACTAGTATGCGCTATCAATTTTTAAAATTTTAAGCTTTTTAAAGGTGCAATTTTCAACAAAATGTTTTTTAAAAGAGCAGTTATTAAGAGAATACAATCAAATGACTGTGAAACAGTCTGCCCTTATAATAGTTACATTTGAAATAACCTAAGACAATTACAATTTAACCCTACAATGTAAATAAACAAAATTTATTTTGCGTTGCCAATCCAGTACTTGTAAATTTTGACAGCAGAATCAAACCATATCATCGGAATGCATTACCATTGGTAGCTTAATAACTTTGTTGATACATGTGATAAACTGTTAGTGCTATAATCTTGATAATCTCTGCTCTATCTAACAAAAAAATTTCAACAGATGCTTTTTCACTTCATGAAACAAGGAAAGAAAGTCCTAGTTACCTGACAACATTTGACACTCAGGAAAAACTAAGCCATAACTTCCATTGAATGCACGAGACAGATCTCTTGTTAATTCTATATGCTGAGTTTGATCTTCTCCAACAGGAACTAGTGTTGCTCTTAACAGCAGAATAAAGAGAAAAAATTGCTTTTGTTCAAAATGAAGGGCATAATATAGACTAATTAAAAATACATTTAAAAAAATCTATTGAAGGACTATACATATCACTAACATGATATAATTTTAAAATTATAAATATATTCACTTGTGATAGACAGCCCAACAGATTTATAAGATTTAACTTACTTGTACAGCATAATATCCGCAGCTTGCAAAATTGGATATGTTAAAAGGCCAACACTAGGTTCTTTAACAGAGACTTTTTTTTCCTGTTTTTGGGAAGAAATAAGAGCTTTTGAAAGAGAAATATATATAACTATATTGTAGAGGTAGAGTTATTTTTGTTACCGGTACTTAAGACCAGGGCAGTGCCAAGAGGGCTTACATGGGGGAGGGGGGGGGGGGGCGCAAAATCCCCTTTAGATAGGACCTTGATAGCAGACCTGTTTACTTTTACTTTTTTGGCATACAATGTACGATTTTAAGGTGTATATCTTATATATACTTTTGTTTATTTTTGTTACCGGTACTTAAGACCAGGGCAGTGCCAAGAGGGCTTACATGGGGGAGGGGGGGGGGGGGCGCAAAATCACCTTTAGATAGGACCTTGATAGCAGACCTGTTTACTTTTACTATTTTGGCATACAATGTACGATTTTAAGGTGTATATCTTATATATACTTTTGTTTATTTTTTTACTATTAAGATAATGTATTGAACGATTTTGCGATGATATTGTACGATTTTAGGAGTTTGAGGGTAACAGATCTGTGATATGGAATTAAATGATATAATCCCATGTTTATCAAAAAGACTAAGGTCACGAAAATGATATTTTTTTCTTTCTCTGCTCAGGGTTGCACTTGTTTTTATACTAAGGAGGGGCACCCCAAGCACAACACCGCTTAGTTAAGACCTATAAATTTAAGAGCATAATTTTTGTTATTAAACGGCAGCATTTGCAGTTGATTAAAGCAAGACATGAGATAAATTATCTTCTCTGCATAAATTTTGAAGCATTTTGCAATCCCAAGCAATTCATGTTGTTAAGTACAGTTATAATGTTAACAAATTTAATCTGTTCTTTTAAAATGGCTTATTAGCAAATTGTACATAACAAAGGGAAAATACCATTGCTAAAATACACTAATGAAAGCAAGTTACCCCAATTTAGTGCTCATGACAGGTAACAATTTCTTTATACTAACAATTCTGATTTAAAGGACAAACTAAAAGAAATAGAAAAAAAACCTCTTAACTTACAGCACGTCAACATTTTACAATTATAACAATTTAAACACGCTTCTACAGTATTTCTCTAGCATAGAAATCAACTACCAATGAACTCCCTTAGTGACAATAATGACTTAATTTGTGATCATTTAAATTTGGTCATAGCTGGGGGGGCCAGCTGGTAAATTCATAAAGACTGGGAATTTTGTATATTTTTTATATCTTTGGTCCTAACTTTAAGAGAAAGGTGCTTTATACAGCATCTGATCGAGCTGATCTTAGGTATCTGTGATGAAGTGGGTAAGATTTATAGTCCAATTTTTAAAAAGTTTTACAACAGTATTTTTCTTCAAATAGTTCTTCAAGTCAAGGATGTTTAGTTTGTGTATTTATTACTAACTAACTTAAGAAAATCAGCAGACACCGAGCCAAGGCTCATATGGTCTCCCCCGGCGCCCCACCCCGCCAACCAAAACCGGCCATCAACCACTCCCCTAGTGGTCTTTATTCCGGCCGAGAAGCCACACCCACACTTCCACTCGATTGGCCATGTGGGTGAGGCGGCACCAGAGAAGAAACACCTGGCCAACCGGGTTGATGCTCTCACAGCAAACGGGCTGGGATTTCTAGGGAGTTGGAGTGGATATGTTTAACATCTCTAAGTTCCCCCTTCCCACCCCAGGGGGACACGTCGTTGTTTATACCGATGACCTATAATAGGGTTTAGGTGGTTTTTCTTCTGCGTGACTAGCTCACACCGCAGCTGGGAGAGAGAGGTTGAATGAGAGCAGTACCCTCAAGACTGCATATTTATTAATAACTTTCTTGATTAGTCTATTTAATCTGTGTTTGATGTCAGACGATGAATTCCCACACCAGCAGGTAATACTGAGATTTAGTAGTCTTTCAATTGTTGCACCTTGGAATATGTTAACAGTCGATCTTGAAAGGAAAATAAAGGCGATGGAGATGAGAGGCTTCAGAAGCATTTTTTGGCATCTGCTATAGGGACCATATCTCCAATGATACAGTGAAAGAAACGGTTCACCAGGTAATTGGGGAGTATGATGACCTACTGGTGACTGTGAAAAAACGCAAACTACAATGGTACGGCCACGTAACAAGGAAACAAGGGCTTGCCAAAGAAATATTGCAGGGCACCACAAGAGGAGGGAGAAGAGGAGGAAGACAAAGAAAAAGATGGGAGGATAACATCAAAGAG